CATAAGAATAAATCATGTTATTTGAGTCACAGTTGATCAGATTAAGCAACGATTGCATAATAGGACTTCGAAAACGAAAAATTTTGGAATCTGGACCTCGGACCGTCCGTTCTAAGGATAGAACGGACGTTCCAGGATGGTAAAAAACTACGTTCATTAGTAGAAAAATGAGAAAGAGAGGAGTACTTATCGATGGGATGTGCGACTGCCAATGTCGCATGTTGAGACGATGAAGATTTCCACCATTCAGATGGTGGTTTCCTATCTCTTGTGCCACGTCTAAGAGGAGGAGCTGATGGTGGAGCATCAGAATGAACAATGTCCGAAGATTGGTTGGGGGAAGATTTTCTATCGCTTCTTGAGATAATTGTTAGCATTTCCCCTTCAAGTGAACCACTGTGAGGCTGTGTGTTATTGTGTTGTTCCCCCTCACCCAAATCTCCAAGTGCATGCTCACCATTGATTGGGACACCCCCTATATTGTTAGTAAGCAAGGGTTGGTTTAGAGATTCAAGAGGAGCGTTAGGGATACCGACGGCGTGGAGATATTTTGGTGAAGGTTGTGATGTCTCGCGGTCTGATTGTGCTCCAAGATGACGAATGGTTGTGAGTAGGTGCATAAGAGGAGCATTGTGGTCCTTCCCACGGTCTGTAAGGTTTTCCAAATCTTGCCAATTCTTGTCCCCGAAATAGCTGAGCTCCTCATGAAACTTGACATCCCGACATGTATATATTCGATTGGTTGGAGGGTGAAAACATGTGTATCCTTTTTGGTTAGCTGGATATCCGAGAAAGATGCACCGGATACTCCTAGGATCAAGTTTGGTGCGTTGCCCTTCATCTATACGAGCAAAGCATACACAACCAAAAACACGTAAGTGATCAAAAGAATCACGACGATTAAATAGTACCTCATATGGTGATTTGTCGTTGAGCACTTGAGTTGGTAAGCGATTGATTAGATAGCAGGCCATTTTCACTGCATCACTCCAATATGTTTTGGGAACTTGGCGATGAAATAGGAGAGTTCTTGACACTTCCATCAAATGACGGTTTTTCCTTTCGGCAACACCATTTTGTTGTGGGGTATATGAGCAAGATCTTTGATGTATAATGCCTTCTTGAAGTAGGTATTCCCTAAATTTACAACTCATGTATTCACCTCCATTATCTGTTCTCAAACATTTTATCTTAACACCAAATTGATTAGCTACATAAGCAAGATAGTTTTTCAATGCACCAAACACATCACTTTTCTGTTTTAAAAGTGTTATACATGTATACTTGGTTTTTTCATCAATAAAAGTCACAAAGTATTTGAAATTATCACGAGAAAAGCAAGGAGCAGTCCATACATCCGAATGAACTAAATCAAAAGCATGCTCATAGATAGTAGAGGAAATCGGAAAAACCGTTCGACAATGTTTCCCTAAAGTACAAGCTTCACAAATGTGTTCAAATGACTTAACGTTGGGAACAAGTAAATGTAAAACTTTAGAGTGTGGATGTCCAAAGCGAGCATGCCACACACTAGGTGAAACGGAGAAAAAACTAGAATGAGATTCTGCGATGTAAAAGAGATTGCCCGTCCTTGTGCCATTTCCAAACACATGGTCTGAGTTAATATCCTGAAATGAGACACCATTAGTATCGAAAATAACACGACAAGGATTCTCTTCAACAAATTTAGCAATGGACAGAAGGTTAGCATGAAAATCCGGTATATATAAGGCTGTGATATCACGATTAAAAAGTCGAATTTTTCCAAAACCTTTGACAGGAACATTCTTACCATTTGCAACTGATACCACTCCAATACTTGGTGTTATACTCTCAAACCATTTGGCATCACAAAACATATGGGTTGTTGCACCCGAGTCAATAACAATAGAGGATAGTATAGAAAGATTACCAGTCTCTTTGTTGAGAGATTGAAGAAGTTGTTTAAGGCCTCTCATCTCATCAGTTGTGAGGCTGATGGTTCCATCGTTTGAAGTGGTATCATGACCGGCGGTCATTGCAGAACCGCGACGAGGAGCGTCTTTATACCTTGATGGTTTTAGATGAGGATTAACCACCCAACAGCGGTCTTTGGTGTGCCCTTGACGTTTGCAATGCTCACAATAAAAGGATTTTCTGTCCCTTGGAGCATGCAAGAACATGTAATGAATCAAATACTCTCATAAAACCATAGAAAGTATCAATACATCGAATGTATCTAAAGAAAGCTCATAAAACAGTACATCATAGAGCACTAAACCAACAGGATGATGCCAAAAACATAGCCAACCTCTTCTTTCGTGAGGTTGTGAGGCTGCACGGTATCCCCAAAACAATAGTATCCGATCGAGATTCAAAATTCCTTAGCCATTTTTGGCGGACTCTATGGAAGAAGATCGGTACTAAGCTCGTCTTTTCGACGACGTGTCACCCTCAAACGGATGGCCAAACCGAGGTCGTGAACCGCACACTATCGACTCTCTTACGAGCAACCATCGGAAAAAACCTCGGCAATTGGGTTGAATGTATTCCCCATATCGAGTTCGCATACAACCGAGCTACGCATTCGACAACTCGCCACTCCCCGTTTGAAATCGTTTACGGATTCAATCCGATCACACCCTTGGAACTTGTAGCATTACCTAGCGACGAATGGGTGAACGTTGAAGGGGAACAAAGGGCCGAGTTCATTAAGGAACTCCATCAGCGAGTGCGTGACAACATTGCTCGGAAAACCGAACAATACACCCGCCAAGCCAATAAGGGTAGAAAAGCCGTAACATTTAACGAAGGCGATTGGGTTTGGTTGCATTTCCGCCCGGAACGCTTTCCCGACAAGAGGAAGTCCAAATTGGCACCACGCGGAGACGGTCCCTTCAGAGTCATCGAGCGCATCAACGATAACGCATATCGGCTCGAACTTCCTGGTGAGTATACCGTTTCTAATTCCTTTAATGTTACTGATTTGCGTCCTTATCTTGCAGGATCCGACTTTTCGTGGGCGAAAACCTCTCAAGGGGGAGGGAATGATGAGGACATGGAGCCGGAGCTGGAACCGGAGCAGGAGCACTTGGATGCGGAGCACACGGAGCTAGGAGCGAACATGGACCCCTCGGAGCAATCAGCCGAAGACCAGCCTTTGGACATGTCAAGTGATCAAGACGTTACACGATCACTTGATCCCGCAAAGCTCGACAACGACCATCACGTGAAGGATGCCCCACGAGCATACGTTAGGGCCGAACCGCCAATCACTCGCGCCAAAACTCGGGCACTTCGCCAACTACTATATGGCACCGTTGATCAAGTCTTGAGCGGGATACGGGACAAAGACGAGGCCGACGCACCCCGACATGGCCTGCATCACGTCTTCACCATCATGGCCGAACCCTACATGCAAAAGGAAGCTTCTTGAGCTGCAAGCAAAGTCCCAACAACTATATTCTTCCAACCACCACATTAAATGCATGTTAGGCTCCTCTTGTGCATGTTAAGCACAATTAAGACTCCATTCTCTTTCTATATATTTTCGAAATCACTCTTTTAATTTCCAGACTTGTTGTTGAATGAATTTTGCTCTTAAGCTTATCTCTTTCTCGTCTTTGGTGTGTCCAAATACAATCCGAGCTCGACGGTGTGTCCGCGGCTGTCCTAGGTTCGGTGTGTCCGACCTTGCCACCTTTCCTTCACTTATCCACTTTGCCATTCCCCTCTTTGATTCGAGTACGAATTCGAGTGCCTCATTCGAGTGCCGGTGATTGAACTCGGATCCCATCCATCTCCACTTCGATCCTCATACCCAA